AATTTCTTCACCACGTACGAGCCAAAGACCTCCCTGTCCTCCCCAGCCTGGCTTCTGTCCTCCCTGGAGAGCCGCAGGGACTGGGGCATCGTTCTTAGCCCCTGGGGAGGGCTCCTGCCTCCCCACCACTCTCCCTCCTGCCAGAGGGGTTAGTGGTTCCCACGACCCTCATCCCCACCCCCTCCTCCTTGCATTTGCCCTTCTCAGCCTTCGCCTTGGCAGGTGATGGATTAGGAACCAGAAGCTGGCACAGGCACCCAGCAATTGGTGTTCATCTCCCTCATTTATGTGGCTGAACAACAGCTCGTTTTCAAACTTAATAGTCAATACTCAGAAAGATAAAACTGCCTGGGTCCCTCCTGAGAAGCAATTTGAGGATTTGGTGGTAAGACCCCACCCCCTCCGGACATGCGTCCCTGGCCCCAGCTTTCCCCCTTCTGATCTCCCCGCAGAGTCAACCAGGACAAGATACAGATCTCCCCACTGTTCAGTCAGGAAATCTGAGGCTGAAGGAAGTCAAGGGACTCTGCCTCTCAGTTTTCTCTCGTCTTGGATTTTGAGGACTCTGACTTTCCATGTACCACTTGGCTTGGTGGCCTGCCCTGTACAGATTACCCTCGACGTTCAGGGGCTGCAGAACTCAACCTGACATGCCCACCAGGCCCCCTCCCTCGGCGCGCCCTCCTGCAGGGAGAGCCCAAGGGCAGCAGCTCGCCACTTGGAGGAGACCCTTCCCGTGCCCCACCCTGCAGCCCCTGTGCCAGGCTGGGCAGGGTGTGGGGCGGGTGAGCAGCAAGCCTCTTGTTCCTTCTTGACAGGAGGACTGCTGAGCTATAATCACACATTCCACAGTCTAGGGCAAGGTCGACTTAGCTAATGCACAAGGAGTGGAGAAAGGGGCTTCCCTTGTGGAAAGGCTGTGGGGCCTGGGTCCTGACTGCGGCTTGGGGAGGGAATGCTGAGGGCCCATAAACTGCAGTGAAATGCTGGCACCTCCTGGCTATGTCTCAGAACTGCAGGGAGCTGTGGGGCTGGTTCTGGGCTGGAAAAGAGGAATGGCGAGCCCCCCCCACTCCCAGCCACCTATCGGCGGGTGTCCAAGGGCGAAAGATAAAGAGGCTGGAGAAATGGAGAAAGGAGCTTGGTCCCAGGTTGGGATGCTGTCATTGCTGCTCTTGTTAATACGACAGCCGTAGTATTACTCTCAATTACTGAGCACTTGCTGGGGCCAGGTGCTTCCCACATTGTTCTTGTTGTTTTTCTCCCCAGCAATCCTCTAAGATGCTGTTTGCTTCCAACAGGTTGGGTGGTTTGCCAAGGTCACACAGCTGGTGAGTGCCACAAGCAGGATTCTGACTCAGGCAGTCTGGCTCCTAACTGTCTCCCGAAGTCTGAATTCCAAGTGTCAGCTCCCCACAGGAACGTCCTGATACCACCTCTTTGGTGCCCCTCCCCCATAACTGCTTCTTAGCCTCCAAGGCCTGCCCATAGGCCCACACCCTTCTAGAACAAAAAGGAATACCCCTGACAACATGGAGTCCATATTGCCATGGGTCCTGGAGATCCACGCCCAGAGCAGGACTCAGATGCTTCTGAGGCTTCCCAGCAACTCCACTCAACCCCGAGCACCACCCCCACCCCATTGCCCACCCTTGTGAACAGGGAAGGCTTCTTCTTGGGGAGGGGCCCAAGCCTGACCCACAGGGTTTAAGCGCTGAGGAGGGGCAGCTAGGTTGGGTAAGGGGCGCCTCCGGGATTTGAGAATCCATTCCACCTGCCTCTCAACCCTGGTTGAGATCAATCCTGGTCATGGAGTCCCAGCTGGGAGGGAGCTCAGTTGTTCAGTCCCTCCCAACCACCCTTGTGATCCTTACCCCACAAACTGTCACAGCTGGGAGAGGACATCAGGAATGACCCAGTGCAAACACCACCTCCTTTTGTCAATTGGGAAGGTCAGGCCCAGAAAAGGCAAGCAGCTGGCCCAGATCACACAGCCCAAGTGACTGAGCCAGGATGAGAACACCCAAGTACCTGGGTAGGGTCACTGCTTAGCCCCGTTCTGCCTCCCTCCTCCCCCAGCCCAGCCCCCTGAGGGTCCTCCCCCATCTGCCAGCAGGCTACCCCCAGCGTGCTTGGACTTGCCTAAAGCCCAGAGCTGTTGGGGACCAGGCACAGGAGCATGGACCAGGACTTGGCTGGGGCTGAAGGAACAAGAACGGAAACAGTCTTGCTTCTCTCCTTTCTCTCCCATTCTGGAGAGAGACATCTCCCTCCCCCTCCACTCCGGTCCCTGAGCCACTCAAGGCATATGATGGTCTGATGTTTTCACCCATGCTGAGGAGGGAGGCATTCTCAAGAAATGGAAGAAAGGATTCCCCCAGTTGCTTTCTAATCACAGCTCCAACGGTAATGGAGCTGGTAGGGAAGGATGGGGGGAGCATGGTGCTCAGGGGACATCCCCACCCAGGCCCCAGCCACGGGCCCAGGGCCCCTGGACACAGCTGTCCCCCTGTCCTCCCACCTTGCCAGCTTCCACACTGCCTGTGGCAGCTCCTGGTAAGGCCCTGGGCTAGGACAGGCAGGGGTCCAGGGAATTCAGCCAGACTGGGTCCCTCTCCTTCTTCCCTCCTCTAGAGCCAATGGCTTTGGGAAGGGTCCCAAATGTGGGAGCCAAGGTCTTTCCCAGAGAACTGGGCATCCCTGGAGTCTAGGAGTATGACCCTCCTCTGCATCAAAGCCATGGGGATTGCAGGTCCTAAAACAGGTCCAGGAGGGTGCAGGGCACTGAGTGCTGGCCTGGGGGAGGTGCTCCAGAGAGCACTGCTCATGGAACCAGACCTGGGTCAGGGGCTGCGGAGAACAGTAGCCAACCCAGGGAACACTGTTCTCGTGGCTCCAGAGGCACAAAGGTGTGGGAGCATGCTGGTTCCATGGGAGGCAGCTTCCTTCCTGACAGTGCTACACCAGGTCTCCTCACCATCCTCTCCTCTCCTCCCCCATCCCTTCTGCCCTCTTCTTCTGGCTCCTCCTTTTCATTTTTTTATTCTAAGGACCCCCTCCCCAGCTGAGAAGCCTGGCTACTGGCCCAGCAGGGTGGGGAGAGGGAGGAGGAAGGGGGTTGCCCCTCCATGATGCACCAGCAGCTAGCTCATTTACTAAGGGGCAGGGGAGAGGGCTGCTCCCCTGGTGTGGTTTGGCCTCAGCTAAGGAGCAGAGCAAAGAAGGACAGTGAGAATGAAGGAGCCTTGGAGGGGAGGTCCCCAGCCCCACCAGGGACAGGGTGTGTTTTAATTGCATCCTCTTTCCCTCTCTTCCAGGTCATGCTTCCTCCTGTCTTGCTTGCCTCCTCCAGGAAGCCTTCCCAGACTACCCTTCCAGGCCTCTCTAGGCTCCCAGGGCCTGGACAGCCTCATCTCCTTCTTGCATGCCCCAAGCCCAGGAGGGTGCTGCCCTCAGGAGCCTGTTGATTCTCCTGCCAGGCCTTGGGTGTGGGGTCCCCCAACCCAGGAAGCTCTCCCCACCACGGAGAAGCCCCTGGTCAGTCTCCACTCCAGCCTGTGTACAGCCACTCCTGGGGTCCTGCTCCCTGCTGGGGATGGGGGATGGGGCGTTCTGAGCACACACAGCCCTCAGGGTAGTCAACACATCCCAGGGTGCCCCCATCCTCCCTTCTGTTCCCTGTCAGCTGATGTCCACCTAACAAAGATCCAGTCTCCTGTACTTCACCCCAGGGGCTTTGACGGGGTAACAGGGAGACTTGAAGGAGCCACATCTTCTGGAGGAAAGAGGAGAGGTGACCCCACACTAATCAGTGTTGGGAAAGTGTTCAGAAGGGCTACAGGCAGTCCCACTGGAAACTGGGCCACATCCCGGGAACATGTTTGATCGGTACAAATGAAGTCGGTGATCAATGGTTTATTCAGGAGGGAAAAGCCCAAACTAAGTGTCCCCCTCCCCGCCCCTGGCCAGCTGGCCCTTCCCCCTTGTCTCCAGGACCCTTGGGAGGAATGTTGAGAAGAGGAAGGGCCCCACCTTGCTGCTCCTGCTTTGGTCCATCTCTAGGCCCTGAGCCCCATGATGGTGTGCCACATGGAAGGTAGTCAGAGGGAGGAGGGAGACGGATGGGGGCAGTGGCTGAGGGGGGCGGGTGGTGGGTCAGCTACCCTTAGAAGTAACAGCAGCAGTTACCTGGAAATTCCAAGTGACCTGCCGAGACCCAGTGTCCCCAGCCTGCTCACTTGCCATTGCCAGAGAGGACACAGAACAATGGGATGCCCAGGACTCCGTGGGGGAAATGACATGTCCCTTGGGCAGCTGGGCCAGGAACTATTTTCATGGATGGATCCTATCATGTTGAGGGAATTGCTTATCCCAGCAGGTAGAAGAGGGACCCGGCTTGGCTAAGACCATCCTTGCGGCCAGGAGAGCCCATCCCCAGCGACCTCGGACTCCATGTGGTTACGGTGATGCCCGACACGGTTGGGATGATGCCGAGATGCTGAGAGGTTCCCCTCCACGGTGGCCCCGGGCTGCGGGCTCGGCCAGGCTGCGTACTTAGGGCCAGTGGTCTGCCGGCGCCGGGCTGCTGGGAAGGAGAGGGTGGACCCACGCGGGTGGGAGATGGGCAGGCATCTGCAGACCACATCCTGGGGAAGGAGGCTTGGAGAGAAATGGCCGAGAGGCCTCAAGATGGCAGGGGATGGGTGGGAAAGGCAGGCTGCCCCCATGTGGGCCCCAACAACCCCATCCAAGAGAGGGTGGTGGGTTAGGGGAGAGAAGCCCACCTATCTCCCACCCCTGCGATGGCTGGCCTCTGAGCACAGGAAAGATGGTGGCCATGAGAAGTCCCAAAGCTGGAGAGGAGCCTGGATGGGGCCTGGTTGAAGGCAGCGAGCAGAGGGGGACGGCTCCCTTCTACCCTGATGAGCACAGTAGCGAGAGCAGCAGGATCAGCCGGGGAGGGCAGGGGTGCCAGGGCCTCGGTGCTGCCTGTCTGGAACTCACGGGGCCTCGTTGGACCCCATCCCGTTGCCTTTGTTGACATAGAATGGCCGGTAGTGAGACTGTTGGTTGGGGGAGGGAAATAAGAGTGGTTAGGGAGGGCAGATGGCAGTGGAGCTGACCAGCCAGACCTACCCTAGCCTCACCTCCCCCCGGGGAAGCTGCAGTCCTCTGAACCCCCTAGCAGGTTCTAGGGGCCCGTGGCCCAAACCGCAGGCTTTATCTATTCAACGCTATCAGTCTCCAGGTTCATAGCCCATTCAGAGTTCATTGCCGCCATTCGGCTGGTGAGCAGGAACCTCAGGCCCTCATCAGACTTCCTCTCTGTGGCCTAGGAGCTGCCCCCACTCCAGCACCACCCTAGATCCTGGTCTCATAGCATTTTCTCCTCTCCAGAGCTGCACCCTGTGTTACAAATGCTTTGTATGGAAGGACTCATGGAGTTTTTATAGCCACCCAATCAAGTGGGTTATCATCATCATACCCATTTCATAGATGGACAAATCGAGGCACAGAGAGGCTAAGCCACTTCCCTAAGGCCACCCGGCTATTGAGTAGTGGAGCTGGGATTCGAGCCCCCTGCAGTCCGGCTCCCGAGCCTCCCCCGTACCCCCTTCCCCGCAACAACCCTACCCACATCTCCAAATCATTCCTTGAGTCTCAAGGGCCACAAGCATTTGCTTCTGGTCTCTCTGCGTGATTCCCCTGACAGAGAGAGTTCACAGAAGGCAAAAACCTGCCCAGCCCAACACAGAGGTGGGCTCCCCAACTCTAGCCCCTTCGCCTCTCTCATCCTGGCCTGTCCTTCAGGGAGCGGCCTCAGCACAGAGCAGAAGCACCTTCCCGCCAGCTCTGCTCTGCTCCCGTCAGCTCCCCAAGCCTAAGAGATCAGCCTCCAGCAATAAGAAGGCCGGATTAGCTGCTGCTTAGTCTATGCGAGAGCGCTCAGCCCTCCGCGGGGCTCTGGAAGTGGCTTTGTGCCTGAGCTGGGTCCACTGATGCCACTGTAGGAGACACTGGGGAGGTCGCCCCTGCCTTCAACCTTGTCTGCCCGGAGATGTGGTCACCTAGCAGCTCCTTAGCCGTATCTGGCCCAGAGCAGGGCCTGGGGGTCTGTGGGATGCGGCGACTGAGTCCTTAACTCAGCCCTTGGTTGGCCCCCTTAAGAAGTGACTGTAAGATACAGAGGCACCCAGGCAGGAGAAGGCCACAGCCAAAGTCGCAGAGTTACTCAGTGGCAGAACGGGTCTGGACCCCAGAGTAGTCAATAAGAGCCCTAGAAATGGCTCACGTCTTTCTTTCTGGAAGGCTGGGTCAATAAAGCAGATCACAGGTCAGTGAATGGTGCTGTCCCACGAAGAGCCCAGAAGTGATGGGTGGGCAGAAACAGAATTCCGGGGCATCTGGGAAGGGTGCTCTCCCTGTCTCCCCAGCCTGCCCTTGTCCCTTCCCTGGCTCAGGGTCACAGCACGTCAGAGGCCCCCAACTCTTGTTACAGTTGCGAGAACGGCAGCAGAGGAAGAATGGCTCACGGGAGCTCACACAGCAAGTGGGTATGAAGGCGAGGGCCACATCCCAGGCATTTTGCCCAGGACAGCCTCCCTCACGCGCTAGCACCTGCCTCCATTCTAGCCGGAACCCTGCCCTGCCAAGCAAGTGTCTCAAGATGGTAATGAGCGTTCTCTGCTGGGACCCAGGCCCTGGGAGGTAGAAGAGTGTGTGGTAGGGAGGGCAAGGCCTGAGTCCAGGAACAAAACCCCCTTTTTTTCTCCCCATGTCTGCTTTCTGCAGTCCTGCTGTTGCGATGCCCCTGGGCCCCGGTACAAATTACACACATGATCACTTAGCTCCCATCACCAGCAAATTAAAGATTTTCTCCAATTAAGGGGCCTGGAGCAAATCACCTCCCCACGATCTAACCTCCAAATGCAAAGACAGGAGGGAGCTGGGGACTCCTGCCCCTGTCCCCAGCCGAGCCCCTGCTGTCACCCATATCCCAGGGCAGCTGTGTGACTCTCTCAGCTCCAAGAGAGAAGCATTCAGGGAGGTGGAGGCCCAGCCTGTGAAGGAAGGCCCGGCTCACGGAGGTCCTGGGTGGGGGTCAGGTCAAAAGGGCATTAGGGGGGCGCCTGGGTGGCTCAGTGGGTTAAGCCGCTGCCTTCGGCTCAGGTCATGATCTCGGGGTCCTGGGATCGAGTCCCGCATCGGGCTCTCTGCTCAGCAGGGAGCCTGCTTCCCTTCCTCTCTCTCTGCCTGCCTCTCTGCCTACTTGTGATCTCTCTCTGTCAAATAAATGAATAAAATCTTTAAAAAAAAAAAAAAAAAGGGCATTAGGGGGGCGCCTGGGTGGCTCAGTGGGTTAAGCCTCTTCCTTCGGCTCGGGTCATGATCTCAGGGTCCTAGGATCGAGCCCCGCATTGGGCTCTCTGCTCAGCAGGGAGCCGGCTTCCCCCCTCCACCAACTGTCTCTGCCTGCCTCTCTACCTACTTGTGATCTCTGCCTGTCAAATAAATAAATAAAATCTTAAAAAGGCGGGGGGTGGGCATTAGGGATCCCTGTATCTCAGCACTGCATTACAAGACTGCAGAAACAGAGCCTCAGAGAGGGAATCCCCTGAGCTGGCCAGACCCCAAGGCCATGGTCTCCTCTAGTGTGGTTCTTCAATTCCTGGTTCAGGTGCGTTAGCCACTGAACCCTGAAATATCTCTGTTCCTGACTTTACCACCTCTGCCTCACCATGTTATCGCCCCAGTGGCCTCTGTGTTGTCAGAGCTAGGGAATGGCCCCAGGAAGGTGGGACCCATCACTAGGATGTCCATCCCCAGGACGGAGAATTTCACATGCCCAGAGCTGATGGGGACACAGTCCTCATTCAGCAAGTATAGACGCCCAGCAACAATTTGCTGAATGAAAGAATCAGGGATGCCCACTTTACAGATTAGAAAACTGAGGCCCAGAAAGTGCATGCTTACCCAGATCCACTGACAGTTAGCCCTGGGTCTCTGCTACCCTTTGCTGAATGCAGGATGTGGGAATTCAGGCCACTGCTGTCCCCTCCCTCTGTCCCATGGCCCAGAGAGGTCACATCCTCCCATCACCTCCCCTAGGTGACTGATGACCAGTTGCCCCTGGGGAGCCCCGTTCCGTGCCCATTCTGGAGATGCCTATGGCCAGACAGGCTGTCCTGGCAGCCCGTCACTCACCAGCAAAGTCTGCTTGCCAGATTTCCAAGTCTGGGGCTGGGCCTTGGGGCTCTGGCTCCTGATGAGGGAAGGATAGCCTGCAGAGACAGGAGGTGCTGGTCGGAGGGAGCCGAGGTTGGCCATCAGGGCCTCCGGGGCCACAACAGCAGGGGTACCATCTCCAAAGTGACCACCAAGCTCCAGCCAGCCCACTACCAAGTGCAGAGACCCCTGAAGAGGCCTGCAGCAGCTGGGGTGGGGGGTACCGCGGAAAATCCTGGAGAGGCTGGCCAAAGGGGGGAGGCACCCAGGCAAACAGAGGAAGGAGGAAGAAGCCAGGTGGGCTGGGCCAGGTGGTCCTGGACTGTGGTCCCCAAATCTAAGTCAGAATCACACTACTCCACAAGGATTTCCCCCACCCCCCCTGAAGGTTCACACCACTGACCTTTTCCCATAAGCACAACCGGCTAAGGTATCCACCAGGAGGCGCCCTTTCCAAGGGCCGGTGCTGCATGGCCAGTGTCCCCCCCTTCCCACAGGTCTCCTCATTAACCCTCACCCCGTAAGCAGTTTGCCCTGAGCCGCACCACCAGGAAGCAGCAGTCAGGATGTGAACCCAGGTTTGACGGGGTACTAAAACCCACCCTCATGGTCCTGCCCAGGTCCAGGGCCTCTCGCCTGTTCCAGGAGCAGGAGGCTGGGGCCAGGGCCAGGCCGTCATTTGCCATGTGGCTAAGGTCCACAGTTAAGACAGCAAGCCCATGGGGCCTGGAGCACGTGGGCCCTGTCCGGGCCTGGTCCTCCTGCCCACTGTGCTCCCCTTCAGCCCAGCAGGATCTGTTAGGAGCTCTGGCCCACAGAACTGTGGAAAGCACCCTCTGTCTCAGCCATCAGCCTGCAGGGACAGGCCTTGGGGCCTGGGAAGGAGCAGATTATGACCCCAATAGGAGAAGCTCAGAAATAAACAGGGTCTGCCCTCCTCTGGGGCAGCCCGGAGCCCCGTTCCGGCTGCTCTGAGGGAGGATGAACCGGCCTGGCTGGCCCTTCCCTCCATCTGCATTTAGCAAGAAGATGGAGACAGAGCAGAGACTCGGGTCTCCCTGCATCTGGGGGTGGGGTGGGGGCACCTTGGCAAGAGAGGGTTCCATGGGTCCTGAGTGGGAGATGGAGAGGGGGATTTCAGATCTCAATTCTCAGTTCCCGGAAAGAAAACCCATGCCAGCCCCAAGAGAGGTGAGGAGGGGATGGGGACGGGATGTGGTCCCGAAGACCAGCCTCATGCAGCAGGCAGAAGTCCAAGGGCAGGGGGAGCTAGGGATGGTGCCAGGGGAGGGGGGAGGCATCCCTCTTCCAGCAACTCTGGGGAGGAGGGCCAGGATGCCCTAGAAGTGGCAGAGAGCCCCAGAGGGTGTCCCATCTGCCCTGCTGTGGGAGAGAGAAGGGGAGGGAAGACAGGCCGGTACCAGGATTGTTTTTAAATCGCCCACTGCCGTCCAGTGGTTTGGAAAACTCTGTGGTGGCCTGTCCCAAGGTGGTGAACTGATAGGGGGCTTTCCCAGAGCCTGCTGGGAGAGAGAGAGGCATTAGCAGCACACCCTGGTCTGGGAGGGGGCCAGTGGGAGTCACACCTTGCCCTGGGGCCTGCTATGCTGGGAGCCCAGCCAGGCCACCCCAAGCATGTGCTCTGCCTCCCTCTAGGGTTGCTAGGGTTGCTGGGTAGGAGCTGGTGGGGGGCCGTCCTCATGGGCGGGGCTTCTGCTTACACACAGGCAGGCCCCTGCCCAGAGCACCCCACCATCCAAGGCCAGTCCCAGCTGATGTAATGAACTGATCTGTGTGAAGGTGACCACACTGTCCCTGGGCTAGTCCTCAGGGGCTCAGAGTATTTGAGGATGGGCTCTCCTAGGTCAAGGCCTTCACCAGGGCAGGGGGTGGGTAGTGGGTTGGTACAAGCCTGTGGGGAGATACAGGGGAATGTGGAAGCTCCAAATCACACTGGGGGATGAACGTCTTCCCTGACCCGTAGCCTCTGATCTAGGCTTGACCAGAGTGCAGGGAGGGACCGCTGGTGGCCAGAACTTGCCAGGCCTAGCTTGGGGAGAAGACATCCCCCGGGGTCTTATAGGCTGGGACCCTCCAGTCATATTCACCTTCTAAGGTGAGCAAGGTGAGCTGGTCCTTCCAAGAGTCCCTGCCCTGGGGATAGGGTGGGATTCTAGCCTGGAAGGGACAGCTGAATGATAAGTCACCTTCCAAGTCCACTGCCTGGGGGCCTGCCTGCCCCGCCCTCTCTCCTCCCTCTCCCTGACCCCGGCCAGCCCCTGTACCCTCGCTTCAAGGCCACATGGCTCTGGCGTCAGAAGACAGAATGGCTTACACCACAGCCCACAGAGCTGTCCCTAGGGCCCTTCAGGAGAGACAGGAGGGGCCTGGCCCACTCCGCCTGGTCTGGAGAGCGGAGTCGGACTCAGGACACTTTAGACATGGTCTAGTCCTGCCTCTCTGAGAAAGGGCCTGACAGGACTCAGGATGTTGGCCGCTGGTACGCGGTCACAGCCTTCTAGAGCCGACAGAGGCCGGCCGGCGCAGGCTGAGCAGTTAAGCTTTCTGCAGGAGGAGGACTCAGAAGTTAGGCCTGATGGAAACAGGATGGGGGTGTCAGGGGCAGGGGTCTCCAGAGGGTGGCGTCCCCACCTCCCTGACCATGCAGATCACGGTTAGGGCCCAGTGTTCGCTAAAACCAGCCCCGAGCCCAGGCTTCCCCGACAGCTGAGACCTCTCGGGCCAGGGTCTGTCCCTTCCAGGGTGGGCAGCTGGTGAGGGAGGGAGCGGAGGCCAGCACAGAGCCTGGAGAGACACAGGAAAGGCAGGGCAAGGTGGGGAGAGCTCACCTTTCAGGGAGAAGGAGGAGCTGCCTTGGACTGCAGGCCCATCATCTGAGTTCTGGATGGTGGAGGAGTATTCCCACACCCGGGAGGTGTAGTTACCTGGCGGGGCACAGCAGGAGACGTGAGTCTCCCCAGCACCCCCAGCACACTTCCCGCCCATCCTTCCTGCCATCAAAGTTGTCCTAAACCAGGGCGCCTGGGTGGCTCAGTGGGTTAAGCCTCTGCCTTCGGCTCGGGTCATGGTCTTAGGGTCCTGGGATCGAGCCCCACGTCGGGCTCTCTGCTCAGCGGGGAGCCTGCTTCCCTTCCTCTCTCTCTCTGCCTGCCTCTCTGCCTGCTTGTGATCTCTGTCTGTCAAATAACTAAATAAAATCTTTAAAAAAAAAAAAAAATTTGTCCTAAACCACAGTGTCCGCTTGTCTCTGCCTAGCTCAAGGCCCACTGTCTTCAGACTCAGGCTCCGAGTCCCTAACCGGCACACGGCCCCCCTCACTACCTCCACTTTCTGGCCTCACCTCCCCCAGCTCCGCTGCGACAGCCCACCCTGTACCCTTTGAGCTCGCGGCACACCAGGCCCTCTCTTGCCTTCGGCACACGCAGCTCCCCCACCCGCTCCCATCCTTGACAATCGTGTTGGGGCCTCTGGTGTCCGCTTCCCTGTCATCTCCCCCAAGTCTGTGTGTGCCTCAGCCCCAGGCCTCACGTCACTCCGCTCCCGTGTTGTCCCCCTGGGTTATAGGGGCAAATTTAATTGGGGGCAGGGGACACGGCTGTCTGGCCCAGCATCACATATCCAGCGCCCAGCGCGGAGCCTGGTCCCTAGAAGATTCCATTGCACGGTTGCTGGGTGAGTGCAAGAAGAAGTGAACAAATAAATAGAAGCACATGGTAAAACTTGGGCAGAGAGGCAGCTGGTTCAAGTCCTGAAACTCTGCTTGCGAAGCGGAAGAGGTAGACGAGGGTCGGTTTGGGAGGACGTCCCTGCAGTCTAGCGGAGAGAGGCAGCAGGGCGGGTGCGGGAGGAACAGCAGGAGCCCCACGAGGACACTCGAGTCTGGGGGCTTCAGAGCCCCCCACGGACGACACCCCTGCCCTGGGCTGCCCTCTCAGCAGCCCTGAGCCCTGGGGCTCTCCCCAGTCAGCTCACTCCTTGGCTGAGGGCCCAGTCCTGGTTGATGGTCCTCTCCCACAGCCGTCTGCAGGAGGGCGGGAGCCTGACACTGGGGCTCAGTGGTCAGAGGGAGCTGGGGCACTCTGCCCGCCCCACTGTGAACCCCTGCCATGGGGACCTTGGGAGGGGTCTCCAGCACGACCCCTAGTGAGCCCATCCACCCAGATCTCTCGGAGCCCATGCCCTTACTGAAGAGGCCCCCCAACCCCTCCTCAGACCTCCCAGGGCCATGTCTGGTAGAGCTGCCCCAGGACCGCCCTCCCTGCCCACGGCTGGCTGGCACCCTGGAGCCTCCAAACACCCGGGTCCTACACTTGGCACAAGGGTGCCCTCGGTGCACGGGACAGAGGGGTGTCTGTGCTTGCTCTGCCTCTCTCCCCAAGGAAGCCAGGCATCCCCCCTTTCACCTTTTCTAGGCCTTAAGGGCATGTCCCATCCCGGATCTCCAGGGACAGCCCCACTTCCTGTCCTGCCGTCCGTCCCATTTACAGCTACACTAGTCTGTTTTACAAGTGACTTCTCAATGCAGACGTGCACCCTTCGGTAAAGGGCCCCGGTCCTCTGTGGGTCCTTGTGTTGCAACACATACTAAGGGAGGATTCCACACCGAAGCCCCACTCCCAGTTTCCCAGACTCACCCTCAGGGATTTCCAGGCTGCTTCTCCGCAGCCTAACTAACGACATCACACACTCTAACACACACACACACACACACACACACACTGAGCTCAGTAGGACTCCTCCCTGCCTGTCTCTGGGCCCCTAAGCCCATCCCAGCTCCCCACATTCCCCTTCCACGGGGGAGCCCGCCCCCCACCCTCAGCCTACCTCCCAGTCCCTGTGCTGAGTCACTCTCTCACCTTTGGTGCCATACAGATTGTTGAAATTCTTCTGGTTGGTCTCCTTGGAGAGGCGGCTGGGGGACCCTGGCTGGTACGATGTCCTGGCCCCACCTAGGAAGATGAGGACGGGTCCCCACTGTGGAGAGCTGGGTCTGCTTCAAGGCAGGCCCATAGCTTCTGACTTAAGGGGGTTACGCGGGACTCCTTGTCCCCAGACGGCGCCCACTGCCTGTCCGGAGACCCGGGTCCCACCACTTAAGACAGCTCGTCTGGGTCTAGATCAGGCAGCCACTTAATTTGCACTCCAAATCAGGACACTGAATGGTGAAAGGAAGACTGTTAGTAAGTACACAGGAGCATTAGGTGTAAATCTGGAAGCTTCTGCAGAGACTCGGGGTGCATGGTTTCCCTATGTGGGAGGCCCTAAGGATCACCAAGGCCTGAGAAGCCCACACCCCCCTCCCGAGCCAGGCCTTGCAGATGGAGACCCCAGAGGCTGCGAGGTGGTGTCCCCGGGACAAAGGAGGAAGGTGGCAGCTGTGGGGGGGGTACAGGTGTGGGCTCGCCTATATGAGGAGCCTGGGGCCACAAGTATCTCCCGGGTGCTTCCGCCACCGGGGGTAAGACCTCACATTGCTCAGGAGCCTCCAAATTTGGATTCTTAGAACAATCTTGAGAGGCTGGCGGAGTGGGCTCCATACCCCCACTTTACAGATGAAGAAGACATGCTTTCCACATGTGTCTGGGTCCTTCCATCAGCTCCTTCCCTCCCACCTAACAGGCACCCCACTCCCAGCTCTGGTCTGCTTCTTTACTGAGCACACTGCCCCTCCTTCAGGGGCCTGGAAACGCCTCCACTGGGAAAGGTCACAGCACGAGCCCACTGCCCCAGAGCCCCCAGACTCATGCCAGTAACCCTTGGATGGCCTTGTCTCCTGATCCCCTTTCTGACTCTTCCTGGCCCTTCCCTTGCCTCTACCCTGAGCCTGGGAGCCCCCAGAGGGCAGATTTCCTCCTTCCTCCTGTCCTCAGTGCAAGGGCAGGGACACCGGATGAACCTGTTTCTTCCACCTACAAATGTCACCGCCTGACTCCGTGATAAGCTGAAAGCCTTCCTAGCATCTGAGCTGAATTTCTCTCCTCCCAGACGGGGGTACTGAGGGGACAGTGACCTGCCCAAAGTCCTGGCTGGAGGGCAACATCCTGGCAGGTCTGTACTGTTCCCTCTAACCCCACTGCTGCTCTGCTCCCCTCCCCACGACCTGCGGTGCGGGGGGGAAACCCACGCCCCTCTCACTCCCCGAGGGAGCTGAGGGAGCCGAGCAGGGCCCAGCTGAGGGGACCAGTGCACATCGGTGTCCTCACTGGGGAGGCTGGTTAGTGTTGCTCACCCGCTCAAGGACGGGGCCCCAAGGACAGCGCCCTGGGAGGGGAAGGGGCCAGGCTGGTGGCCTGACCCACACCAGGAATGTGGGGCAGGGGGGACTCGGGTGCCCAGGTGCTTCGCCAGGCCTCTGTCGGCCCAGGTGTTGTTTTCACATTGGGTGGAGCTCAGAGATTCCTCCGGCTGAGCTCATCTCTAAAGCCCCTACGCCCTTCCCATGGGTGTGTGTGTGTGTGTGTGTGTGTGTGTGTGTGTGTGTGTGTGTCTCGGAGGTGTGTCAATCAGTGCTCAGGCCTGGGGGCTCCCCGGTCCCCAGCTCCTTCCTCACATCTCTCTGTCCCCTTTCTCCCTTTTCCCCACAGCCCCACTCTTCTGAAGACCACCCCCATGCGTAGGCACGCCCCCAGGAATGCACCCCCTCTCTCCCAGGGCTGACATGCCTGGCACACCCACCCTTATGTAACGGGCTTTGTTGCGGTTTGTTGCTGGTGCAAAAGAACGCAACAGGCTCCCCCCCCACCCCCCGCCGGGGGCGAAAACAGGCGGGCTCTGGTCTCTACCTCCACCTAAGCTGACACAAGCTGGGGCCGTCCAGGGCCCAGAGAGGAAGGCCAAGGGCCAGGCGCCATGCCAGGAGGGAGCGGGGAGGAAAGGTAGACCAGCCGTCCGTCTCCCCACCCTAGAGGGGCAGAATGGTTCTGGAGGGATTGGCCCTCCCCCAGGACTACAACAAGGCAAGTGGAAGCAGAACACAGCTCAGGCTCAGGCCCCGAGGATCGTTGCTGGTGAAAACAGCAGCTGGGAGACCCGCTGAAAGGAAAGGGAAGCACAGGACTTATTGGGACTGGAGGCAGGGACGGGGGAGGGGGGAGTCAGGAGGTGCCTGTAGTTTATCTCCAACCCGGATGCTTCTGAGGGAGGAATGGGGCACTGTTCTTGGGTCCAGAGGGCCAGCAGGAGTGCGCCCGGACTTCCCCGGGCAAACCCAGTGACGGTCACTCTGGCAAGGCAGAACCCAGCCGAGTCCTGAAGTCAGTGGCCCCGAGGGATGGGGTGCTCTCTCTTACTCTTGGGCGTGAGGTACATGGAGTATCTCTTCATGGTGTCGGGCGCACTCCACTCGTTGCCGTAGCTGTTAGTGTAGCTGCTCATGTAGCGATGGTCAGCTCCTGGGAGGGACAGAGGCCGGCCATCAGAGGGGCAGGTGGAGAGGAGAAGGGGGGCCCTGGGGAGCAGCCCTGGTTTCTGCTGAGTCAGCCCACAGCCCCTCTGTCCCAGGCAGAGGTGAGGTTCTCCGAGCCCAGGGAAGGCCATGCCCTGCCCAGCATTCCCTCTGCTCCTGAGCCGCTGGGAGGTGAGAGACGGTCGGCAAGGAGCCAGCTCCTTCCCTGGACTGACCCTTGTGAGTACGACCAGAGGCACAGCACTTTGTAGTTGACAAGGTGCTACTGACATCCCTTTCCTTTTTGCTGTGTACGCAACCCCTGGGCTGGAATAGAGATCCCCACGGGACAGACCAGGAAACTGAGGCTCGGGAGGTAGGTGAAGCCCCATGTTACATGGCCAGTGAGGGCAGAACTGGGGTGTGAGCCCTCATTCCTACTTCCTTACTTTGTCCCAGCCATGTCGGCAGCCCACGGGGGTGGAACGAGGTCCTAGCGTCGGCCTCCAGGGCCAGGGATCCAGCCCGCTGAGCAGAGGCACGAAGAGGGGAGTGAGCTTCGTGGGGCGGGCACTGACTCCCCACCCCACCCCCAGCCACCAGTATACCCCCAAACCCAGACAAATCGGTGGTGCCACGCTTGCCTTCCCCCAGCTGCACTCCCCCAGCCCATTCCTTCCTCTTGCGACTTCTCCATCTTTTACGTTCCCTCTGCCCTTCCCTCTCTGTCCCCGCTGGGCAAGAGAAGGAATGAGTGGTTCAGGTCCTTCTCCTTCATCTTCATCACCTGTACCCAGCAGGGGCCTGACATATAGTAGTGCACTCCACCACAAACACGTGTTCTCCCAGGAGAACCCCCACCCATTGCTCCCTGCTTCGACTGCTCTGCAAGCTCAGGATGATGGTGGTCAGTCCCTGGGCCTTTGGGGGTAGGACTAAGTCCCTGGTCTGATGGGTAGGCTGTCATCCAGGAGGAGAGGAGGTCTGACTCACTGGCCTCCCATTCCCCCCAGCCCTGCCCTATAGACAGACAGACTCCCAACAACAACACAGCAGCAATCAGCAAACCAACACGGAGGCCCAGGGCCCCAGGCACAGGTGCAAGGTTGCTGACATCACAGCACCCATCCTGCTCCTGGCAGCGCCTCCCTGCACACCTGGCACAGGGCACGGGGCCACACTTGCTCAGAGGTCATGGGCAATACAATCATTACCTAGAAATGACCCGGTGGACAGGCGGTAGGCAGTCCTTCGAGGCTCATGGGCCAGCCTGGCCCAATCACAGCCATCCTCATCTGTCTGCCCCGACCTCGGCAGAGGGACCCCCACCCCTGGGTTTGTACCCCAGGGAGCGTAATCATCACACTCCCAACAGCTCTGCCCAGCTGCCAGCCTCAGCAACTTCTCGGCCGGGAAGACCTGGGAGGCTGAGTATCAGAGTGTGAATCCTAACCACATCCCCCGCTCAGCTGTGTGCCCTTTGAAAAGCTACTTCTCTGAGCCTCGGCCTTCTCATCTATGAAACGCAGTGCATCCTGCAGGGAAAGTAAGCCATGGCCAGCAAAGAGCTCTCACAAAGCCAGCACACTGGGAGTCCTCAGTCACTGCCGGTCACCACCGCTAATGTCATCACCATTGTCACCTAAAGGGGATTTCAGGACCCGAAGGCTGCTGGAAGCAAATGACTGTCCTGTTGCAGTGGCTCATGGATCCTCAGGTGTCACTGAGGAATGTCCCTCACCTTTCACAGGGACACTGGGTGATGTCACCATCACCGAGATATACAGAGGTCGCCCCTAAAGCCCAGCACATCGGCACACTATTACCCCCTTCTCATCCCCAGGGAATCACCTTCTCTGCTTGGAGACAAAAGACAGGGTCTGCCTCCTTAGGATGTTTGGGGCCAGAGGTGTCCTTAGAGCCCCATGTTGGGCCTGGATCACTGAGTGGGGCCTTGGGGGAAAGCGCTCCCACTTAGGGCCCTAAAGGGACTGGGCTGGGCTGGTGAGAAGAGACTTAATGGATTAGTTTCTCAGATGAGGAGGCTTTCGGTGAGGTGATTCAGTTGGCCTCAGTGGGGGACAGCGTGACTCAGAAGCTGACATCAGGGAAGCCGGTGAGTCACTGAGACACATGGGTCCCATTGTCCCCAGCCCGGCCTCTGGGCTCAACACCACTCAGTGGGGCCATGGTGACAGGCAAGGTCTCCCTCCCAGCACGATGCAGTTCTAGGTCATGTCTATGGGAGTCCGCAAAATCACCAGGTTAGCATCTGGCCCTTCCAAGTGGCAACCTCCCCACAGCTGCTGGGTTGGGCCCATAATCAGATGTAGCTCAGAATGAAATTAATCCTGAGTTTGATGGATGACCCACAGAGAGGAGGCCTTTGTGCAGCCAGTGCCCAGATGCTCACTGCCCTTGGGAGCCCATGTAACACCACATAACCTTGGCACCCGGTTCAGTGGAGGGTTACAATCCCTGAATCCTAGTCCCAACACCTTGGGTAAGACGGGTGGTTTGGAACAATGAGGGGTCGGCTGGCTAGATGCCAGCCCAGGCATCAGGATTCGGCACTTGGAAAGCACCAGGTGCCCATGGCCGTGGTGTTCAGCGAACGAAGAGGCCTACCGTTCTCCATGTGGTTCCTCTCGATGAAGTTACGGCTCAGGTCTGCCTTGCACATCTTCTCAACATGGCGCATGCACACATTGAGCAGGTCATCCTTGAAGTTGCCAAGTGACTGTCCCAGGCCCTCCCCCTCCAGCAGAACATGGTAGGTGGGCAGAGGTGGGGGGAGGGAGTAATTGCTCATCAGTGCACCAAACTCCTACCAAGGAAGGAAAGAAGCCATTAACTTCCTAGGTCTTTAGTAGCCGAGGGGACACGTCTCTGCAGGGAGCTCTCCGTCCAGCTGGAAGGGTCAACGCTGGGAGCCTTGTGGTTCTAGACACAGCTGGGCTACCAACTAGCCCCACTTGTCCTCTTATGTTTCTCCTTCTGTAAAATGAAAGGGTTTGGCCCAACTCCACTAGATACTAACATCCCTGATGGTATAAGTAGTCATGTATGTGACTCCACGGTTCCTACCTCTTCAACTGGACACATCGTTCTATCTTACAGGGGTTTCTGAGAGCGACACAAGCTGGGATGTCTTGGGGAGTGAAAGCACTAAGGAGATGCAAGGTATTTCTAGAACGTTCTGGGTCAGTCACGGTGCTACGTCCACCTTTACATACCACACTTAAAGCCTGCCTCTCATCTCCCCTCCCCCTCACCTGGAGAGTCCCTCCTCTTTCTGAAACCTTTATGGGCTTGGGCCTTCAAGACCCAGTTCAAATTCCACCTCTTCCACAGCTGTGTTCGATTACTCCAGCAAGCTTGCCCTTCCCAGAGCTTCCATGGGCACTTATCTCCGGAACCACATGCTTTATCATTTAATTACATACTCTTCTATATTGCTCTCTAATTGTACATGTCTTATCTTCCCAGCCGGATTGCAGCTCCTCAGGGGCAAAAACCATGTCTTCTACTTCTCTATTCTCCACAGCACCCACCAGAGTCCTGGGGCATGCAGCGGTGCCCAAAACACTCTAGCAGCTGGATGAATAGACAGACAGGTAAGGTCAAGGATCACGCCTAGGCAGCTCTTCCACACCATGCCTCATACCCAAAGCAAACCTCACTAATCAATCCCACAACTCTTTCCTACTGAGCCTGGAGCACTGTTAGTACATATCAACTGAAGCAGGTACAAGGTCATACTTGTGTGCCTTCTTTAGAGGAGGGATGGAAATGGCTTAGATGGAAAAATTAAATGGGCAGATGGAATGGAGCTTGGAAAGATGGATGGATGGATGGATGATGGATGGATGGATAAATGGCTGGATGGATGGATGGATGGATGGATCATGGTAGATGGATGGATGGATGGTAGATGGATGGATGGATGGAGGTTCTGGGACAGTGAATGTAAGGACTGAGGGATCAAATGGTGGAGAAGTTGCTTTGTACCTGCAGAAATAGCACCGAGTCACTGATGGTTTGCATCTGCTCCCTGGTCTGCTTGTCCTCGTGCAGCACCTTGGCCCTCTCTTCCAGAGCATCCACGATCACCTTCACCTGACCCACGGCATCCTGCTCCCGCTGCTCCAATGCGGCCCTCACTTCCTCCTTTTGCTTCTCCAGGTCCCGCACCAGGTCCTGGAAGTTTTGCTCCAGGATAGCCTTCTCACTGGTGGTGAAGCTCTGGGTCCAGAGTGAGAGGAGAGAGGAAGGAGGGTTTTGGGAATTTTAAAAACCTCCTGAGTGGGGTATATCTTTAGATTCCCAGCCCAGAGTCAGAGCTGGGGCATTTCCACTGCCCCAACCCAGAAAGTCTGTTTGACTAAGGATCTCGTTCAAAGGCATCTTTGAGGCATGCCATCTATGGACAAAGATGGCCAGGTTCATTCACAGCCCACTCTTCTTTATCTGTGACTCCTTCCAGGGGTGGGTTGACTTGGCCATCATTCCAACCTTGGGCGACTCCATGGACCCAGAAGATCCCCCATGAGTCAGGTGGTGCTCGGTAAATCTCGACTAGCACCAACAGCATTCAGAAAGTGAACGGACAGGCTGTTGATGGAGCCAGGCTCAAGAGTCAGCGATCTCAGATTGTGGTCTGCAATTACTCAAACCATGGCAGACACACAGGCAGCCATCTTGGCCCCAGCGAAAGGACAACGTCACACCCTTGGTGGCTGGGTGGTCTGCTGGGCAGAGTAGACAACAGAGCACACTGGAGGACACACCAGAAGACAGGTCGATCTAGGGTCTTTATTTGCTGGGAGGGAGCCTTAGCGGATGGCGAGATCACACATGAATGCCCGGCCTGGACTTAGAAGGGGAATTGGTGGGGATGCCAGAGGGGTGGGAGAACCCAGAAGAAGTAAGTGTGGGGCATAAATGGGGGGCCTGGAGCAGGAGAGAACGCCTGTCTCCTCCCAGGTAGGACAGGCGGGGTGAACCCACAGCAAGGCCAAGGCCCGGGGGCGGCTCACCTTGATGCGGTCCTTCTCCTTCTGCCACTTCTCAGCTTCATCTTCGATCTCGATGATCTTGAGTTGTAGCTGTTCCTTTTGTAGTGACAGCTCTGTCTGCAGGGAAGGAGGCAGGGTTGGAGAAGTCCGGGGAGAGGTGGGAGAGCAACAGAGAATCAGGGAGTGGGCCCATGCAGGGAGCCAGCCTGGGGAGGGCTCACTCCTTAGCCCTTCAGCCTGTCTTCAGCAAATAGTCCCAGGGACCTCGGATAGGCCAGGCCCCACGCCTGTCACCAGGGATCTGGCAACAGATCAAACACTGTGTCACTGTAAACTCGGGCCTCCGGGGCTAGGCCATCCCAGCCAGGTCTTTATAAGGTCTAAACCTTCTGCCAGGTCCCTCCACCCAAACTGAGCAGGACGGTTAGTTTATTTATGGGGTTCCCACTCCTCTCAATGGACCTGAGGCCACTAGGGAGAGGGAAGGAAGCTCCTACCTCCTTCAAGGTTCGGGGAGAAAGGGGACCCAGCCCAGCCCAGCCCAGGGAGTGTCCCGTGGCAGTGACAGTGTGCAGCGTTTCTATGCCATGACGCGGGGCCTGTGTTGCAAGCCAGAGCCCAGGCTGAAACCAGCAGGGACTCCGTCTGGACAGGCACAGCTATAAACCTGTTTATGGGAAAGGGAGTGCAGTCCGCAGTTTGGGCAAGATCGGGACTTCTGTTCAGGGGCCCTGGGGGAGGGGAGCTGGCGGTGAGTGAGGCAGGGAAAGGAGGAAGCGAGAAGACAGATTCCAGGGATCTCTGCTCAGGGGAGGACGCAGGCTGCTGGGGTCTGGGGGTGGGGGTGCTAAGGAGGACCGATGAGGGGTGCATGGGGAAGTGAGCTCTGATGGATACGGAAAGTATGGATAATATTTTCCTTCCGTTAGGGAAATGCCTTCTCTGGAAAGCAGCTACAACAAAGGGAAGGCATGAAGCTAAGGCCAAGCTGATTCAGGCAAGCCAAGAGGCACCTTTGTGTTCTGCGGGGGCCCCTGCCAGGGATCTCAAAACCCCTTCCAGCTTGGAAAGACTGGTGGGTGATCTCCACCCCACAAGGCCGTAGGGCGCTCACAGTCTCCCCACTACTCTGGGTTTTGAGCAGAGTTCCACACCATTCTCCAGCTGTCCCTTTGAGGAACCCACAAGAAAAGTCAAGATGAGGAGGCCACAAGCCACTAGGAATGGGAGCTCCGTTGGCAAAGAGTCCTGCGCAGGGTACAGACGGGTTGCACCTCTGGAGGGCTCCCCCAGGCTAGCAGGGTGCTGACTGGGGTCCCTCTCCAGACACCAGGGAAGTGGATTGGGAGTGGAGAGAGCTTCCCTGGCTTTCTTGGAAAGGGTGCCCAGAGGATCAGGGAGCTGGTGGAGAAGATAGGGAAGGCCCAGGCCAAGAACTGTAGAGGTCCCGGACAGAAAGCCCCTGATCCCACCCCGCACCCCCTCTCTGCCCACAGTCCTGGGCTCTCCTGGCAAGAACACTCCAGGTTCTCAGGAAGCATCTGGCCCACCAGCAATGGGCTGCAAATCCGGCAACATGGAAAAATGCCATCACCAGGGATGGGAAATGACTGTCAGGAGGAAAGCAGTGAAAGGAGGTAGGATGGGATTTGGCCTGGTTTCTGGAAAAAGGCTGGGGAGAAGTCAGGTGCCGGTAGACACAGTGCTGGGAGGGCGGAGAGCAGAGGACAGAGAACCCAAGACACAGCGGGTGGCAGATCCTGTGGTCTGGAAGGATCTGAGCCACAAGGAAGAAGCAAACAGCTAGACAATGGTCTGTGCCGGGCACCTTGCCCATCCCAGGAGCGCTCCTAAGGGAAGCCCCAGGTCAAGGGGACAGTCGGAAGCCATCCCACTGCAGCTGACCCCTCCTGACCTGGCTGGAGTAGGGTCATTGGCCCCTGGGTTTCTCACCCCTACCTCATCACCCCCAGAACAAGGCCTGATGGAGAGGAAAGCAGAGAACAAAAGTACATTCGCTCCCACCCCACCCCGGGGCCTGTCCAGGGGGGAGAGGGCAGCCCTCCCATGAATGAGCATGGGGGATCCCAGAGGGGGCCCACCCGAGCTTGGGACTGGGAGTCCAAACATCTGAATGCAGTTACGACCATTTCCAAGCAGATGGTCTCTGCAAATGACTTAACCTCTCTGGGCCTCAGGGCTCTACCTTTCATGGACGTAGTAAGAGGACTGCCCCCCACCCCCCACCGAGGCCATGGGATGAGCTGGGAGCCAGGAAAGGGAGCTCTCAAAAAGTACCCGGCACAGAGAAAGCCCTGGCCAGCGGTCTAGCATCTCGTAGTGTGGGGGACCTTCCATGGGCTAGGAGCTGTGCGGGACGCTCTCCCTCCCACCAGGCTTGGAAGAGAGGGTGCCGTGTGGCCAGCATGCCCGTGGGGCCCAAGGGAGCAAGGTGGGGTGGGCAGGCAGGATCAGGGGAAGCCTCGGAGGTGCTCAGCAATGAGGGCGGCAGGTGCCTCGGTATTGGCGTCTGGGGACAGTGTGTACGCTGCCAGGATGCAGGGAGAAGTGTGGGCCCAGAGGCCTGTATCGTGGGGAACTGAGGCCTGGAGGACACTTGGGAGAACAGAGCAGAAGCAGGGGAGGGGATGAGGGTCGGCTGACCTTGCCAGTGGGAAAAGGTACAACCAGAGAAGGTTAAGGCCAGCAGAGTCATGTGGAGCGAGCAGAGGCGCTGGGGGCACCTGCTGGAAGCCATGGGAACACAAGACTGGGTCGGGTCTGCAGGAGAGACGTGCCCGCCCCCCAACAAGCACAGATTTGCTGGCCAAGAGGGAGTACAAAGGAAGGGGATTAGAACAAGGAAGAGCCCAGGGCAAGGGCCCAGGAAGTCAGATCCTGGGGTGGGTGTGTGGGGGGGGGTGGTCCATGCTGCAGAAGAAAAGGAGGGAAGCAGGCAGCAGGGCTGGCTGAGGTGTAGCGAGGAGGGCCAGAGTGTTGGCCAGTGACCTAGGAGGGAGGAGGGGAGGCTGCTGATCTGGAAGCCTGTGAGGGCAGGGTCAAAAGCAGAGACGTACTGTCTGCAGCAGTGGGTGGAAGACGGGGTGGAGAGAGAGTCGGGCACTGGGGAATTCGGACACAGGCTGGGAGGGGGCCTCGAAAGACCAGACTTGCAGGAAGGCGGGCCCTGAGGAAGGGCCTTGGAGTGGGAGCTCCGTGTGGTTACAACAGTCCCTTGTCCCCTCTGGAAGGAGGGCTCTCCTCTTCGGAGGAGGGTTTGGGGTGAGACCCCTGGGGGTGTATCTGGCATCTGTGTGGCTCCCAACAGCTCTTCCCTGCTAACAGGACTGCGCGAAGCTGGAAAAGGCGGGATGTGGGAAAGAACGTAACATAGGAAGCCTCCAAGATACTGGGTTCTCCCCCAAAACCAGGAGGAGGAGGACACTAATTGTATGACTGAGCACCTACTATGTGCCAGCCATTTTCTTCTTTCATCTGCAAGTGCCGCTGCCCCATTTTACAGATGCAGAAACTAAGGCCTAAAAAAGATTAGGAACTTTGCCTGAGCTTTCACAGCTGGAAAGCCATTAAAGCCAAGATATCACTATAGGATGCAGATCTCCTGTGGCCTCTTAACCTCTAGGCTCATCTCCGAATCTTCCAGGAGGTTGTCCGTCCCCTTCACTTCTGCTAACTTAAGCCTGCCTAGGCTCCCCACCCCACAGATGGTATAGTTTGGCCATCCTGTCTCTTTCCTCGTCACCCCTCTTCCCTCCTCCCCCACACACCCTCTTTCTCGCCCCCTGAGGTCCCAGCTCTCTCTCTTTCTCTCTCCCTCCTCCCTTGGAATTTTGAGGAAAGCCCCTGATATCTGATGGGGCCTCAGCTCCCCACCCCTCCATCGCCGTGCATACCTCCCTCCTCTCTTCCTCCCACTCCGGGTTCCTTCCCTCCACCCTGCCCAGGCCTGTCCCTAAATGTTTCCTTTGTTCCCTTCTCCCACACTCGTCTGGTTGCCTGTTGCTCTGCTGCCTGGGATGGGCACCGGGAAGGCCATCCTGCCTGCAAATCCTTCCAGCCTTGGGGGAGTGGAGGATTCCCTGAGAGCAGACCGAGGGCACAGTGGTGGGTCACACCCAGTCCGATGGGCCTTCGGCCGCAGATGCACCTGAACACTTACCCGGGCAGGGGTCACCTACACGGCCTGCAGGAAAGCGGGGGATGAGGCCGTGATCTTCCTCGAGCTTGATTTAACCGCCTGGGCCGTTGGCTCTGATATTTGCCAAATGAGGCAGTTAATTGCCAAATTTGTACTCTCAGACAAATGGTAATTATCTGGATAAGAATCTGAAATGCTGGAGAGATTTCCCCATTTCCACCCAGATGTCAGATAGCCCAGTACTAGTCTGCGTGACGGGGGCTCACAGTCCCTTCTGCTTCCTCGGGTGCCGGCACAGGGACCCGGCAAGACCAGGTAGACAGACTAGCACCAGGCTGTCCTCAGACTGGTGGTGGGCCCTTGAGAAAGTCACCCCACCTTTACCAGGCCTGGATTTTTTCCTGGCAACGCTGGACAAGATGCCTGATTCCCAACCTGGCTATTCAGTACCATCAGCAAGGGAGACTTAAAAATACAGATCCCAGGCCCCAAGCCCCTGAATGAGAACCTCCCAGAGAAAGGCCTAGGCAGCTGCGTCTTGATTCTCTAGGTGATTCCAATCTGAGGATGCCCCACTCCCCCGCCCACCGCACGCCCCCCAGGGGAGCCTGCCGTCCTGTGAAAACAAAGTGTAAAATGGTGCAGAGGAAACAACCATCAGAAGAGTCAGAATCCGGGGCACCTGGGTGGCTCAGTGGGTTAAAGCCTCTGCCTTCGGCTCAGGTCATGATCTCAGGGTCCTGGGATCGGGCCCGCATCGGGCTCTCTGCTCGGCGGGGAGCCTGCTTCCCCTCTCTGTCTCAGCCTGCCTCTCTGCCTACTTGTGATCTCTGTCTGTCAAATAAATAAATAAAGTTTTTAAAAAGAAGAGGAAGAAGAAGAGTCAGAATCCCGGCTTGGCCACTCCGTGCTGGGATCCAGGAGAAGTCTCTTGGCGTCTCAGGGCTTATGTCCTCGTCTCTAAAATAGGTACAGTAGCCCACAGCTGTGGCACTGTTGTCAGGAGTAACAGGTAAACAGTTGGTGCTCTTTAGAAACTGGAGCGTCTCCTGCTGCCTGCCCGTCACTTTCCTCCCCTGCCTCCTGTCTCTGAACAGCTTACCAGATAAACTGCTTCCCCTTCAGCCTCCATGGAGGTCACCCCTCTCTTCTCTCACCCACCCTGTCCCAGAGCAAGAGCCCCCCAGCCCCTGACAGGACCCATCCTGACCCCATGCAGCAGGAAAGACTTGGGATAGACAGAAGGATGAGCCAAGAGACAGAAAAGGATGGAGATGGATATAGACATCCAGCCTGGGGAATGTCCAGAGGCAGGGGAGTGGACATCGATGGGACCCCTTCTAACACTGGAGTGGAACCGGAACATTCTGACCCTGGATCCACCAGAGGAAGGATAGTCATGCTTCCACACCACGTGGCCTTTGCTCCAATACGGTCCCCGCTCAGAGGCTACAGGCAGAGCCGAAACCCAGGAGACGAGCACCCAAGGCCCTGACTGTCATGTGCAGCCTCATGCAACCGTTCAAGATTGGTCCCAGATGACCTCACCAGGGCCTTCACCATCTGACCTGCTGAACAGGTTCTGGACAGGGCTCCTTGCAAAAACCTGTGTGTAGGCTGATGTTTGGGTCTGTAGGGAATGCCTCCAAAGGATGCCAGGATTGACACGCTTATTCCCTTCTATCAGTCAACCCACTAACCCTGCTCTGTGCCAATGTTCCCCATGGCCGACATTCCAGCAGAGCCAAGCATGGACAAACAGCTGTGCTCCAACTCCGTCTCCTGGCCGCCCCGCACCACTCCCCATCTACCCTTACTCCGCTGGGACATACACACACATGCACACGCTGTCTAGCTCCCACTGTTAAAGTCACTCCAGTGGATCAGACATTTTCCCCTGAAATCCCCGATAGAGCACACGTATCCTGAATCCCACCTTCTCAGTACCCTTCCCCTCAGTTGCTTTCAAATATTGGAAGAGAATTAGGGGACTCCTTTCTCATCCTCCACAAGCTTGGACAGGTCCCTCCCTCTCCCAGGACCTCTGTCCCTGTCTTCAAGGTGAAGGAGGAGACCCAGGAGACTGCTAGGACTCCACCCAGCCTGCCCTGCCACCCGCTACAACTTGATGTTGATGGACAGCTGCTTCTGTGTAACTGGGCGGATGCTCCCCAGGCTTGTTTGTGCCTCCGAGCTCTGCCTCCTGACCTACATCGTGAGCCCTCAAGGACAAGGGCTCTGTCTCAAGAGTCCTACGGCAGCGCCAAGCACCAGAAGGTGAACTCCAAGTTCCCGGTGCCTCCATGGAGGGCTGCCCAAGACTCTTCCCTCCTCCAGAGGCACTTGGGCTTTGGTTAGGCGATACTCTGGTTCCAGACACAAACAGACAAATAAGCATGTATATTGCTTGCAGTAGAAATGGGCACCTGAAGCCACTTGGCACCAATCTGCCCCCCTCCTCATCCCTGACATTCCCAAGAATCCTGGGACCCCACGGGGGAACTTGAAGACCACCAATGTAGTCCAACACGTTGGGTTCACACATTGGGAAACCAGGACTGAGAGAAGGAAAGGGACTTGTCCGTGGTTGGATGGCTAACTAGAGGCAAAAACCAGACGTGGAACTCGGTCGGCTCTCCCAGAACCTAGTCGGAGGCTCTGCAGCTTTTTGGGTTATACCAGATGAAGATGACTGCCCCCTTGGTTCTGTTCCGGTTTCCCAAGGAAGCTCCCGAAGGATGGGTTCCATGGCCCGGCCCCGTCACTGTCTCCTAGCCTGATGCTTGAAGCCAGGCTGGGGTCAGAGCACCAGGGAATCGGGATCACCTTCCAGAGCCAAACAAGACCCCTAACAAGGATCTTTGAGTCTTTTTCCATTTGTAACCCATCTCTCTGCCCAGGGGTGTGGGCAAGGGGTACAGGAAGAGTCAACAGCCAGCTCTTGGTCAGGAAGGCTGGATGGGGAGGGGTCCTGGGCTGCCCTATTCAGAGGGGTAGAGAGAAGCTGACGAGGAAGGCCAGGTCTCCTGCACTGAGCACCAGAATGGTCACCCCAGAGGGGGGGCCGCCCACGACCGCCAGCTGTGTGGCTGCTGCCAGAAAGCAGGCTCAGCATCTGTGGGGCAAAGGGTAGCAACCCCAGCTGAGCCTCTGGCCCAGAACACCCTCTCTCCCTGTACAGCCCTTTCACAAGCCTCCCCATGCCTCTGCTCCTCCCCAAGGAGATCCAGGCACAATCACACAGACAGCTGTCGTGCAAATGCACTGCGTACCCCATATACAAACATATGCACCAAACAGCCACCACACATGCAACACGCACACACACACGTCCATCCCACCCACACGCAAACTGCAGCCCTCCCAAAGCATGGTGCACCAATAGGCTCATGGCCCTGCGACCACACACACGAAGCACACAGAGCCAGTGAAGGGGACGGAGGAGGCCTTCGGGGAAGTCGAGAGGCTGGCGGGGCGGGTGTGGGGAGGAGTGGGAACGCGTAAGCAGCAAGGAGCCCTTGCCCTACAAATGCAGACTCTAAAGCCTGGGGAACAAAAGAGTATTTAAGTGGCCCCCAAATTCCCTTGTCCTCACCCACGACCCCTGCCCCAGCAGTCCGTCCTGCTCAGGTGGCACAAATTCTCTCTCCCTACAATAAAAAATAAACAAGAGGAAACACTGCGGCCAGGCCCAGCTCCCAGGGCTGAGCCCGGGTGGATTCTCTGATCTGACTTGAACTTACCCTGTGACCTTGGTCAAGCCCCCAGTCATTCCCGAGCTTCCATTTGCTCATGTAGGCAATGCCCCTGTCTCCTGAGATTTAGGGAAACTGCCTCTGACCCCCAGCCTGTGGGCGCAGAGGGCCGACAGATGGATTCAGAAGGAGCCAGGGACAGCGGAGACTCGAGGCCCAAAGCCCCCAGGAGCGCAGATGCCCCCGCGCGTTACCTCCTTCTCTGCCTTGGCCTCTTCCACAGTCACGGTGCTGTGATTCTTGTGCTCCTGGAACATGCAGAGGTAACAGATGCAAGTCTGGTCCGTCTGGCAGAAGAGCTCCATGGTCTTGCCATGCACAGGGCACTTGCGAGCCTCGAAGTCCCGGATGGGCTCGAGCAGCTGGTGGTCGCGGAAGGCGGCGCCCTCCAGGTGGGGCTTGAGGTGCAGCTCGCAGAAGGAGGCCTGGCACACCAGGCAGGACTTGACGGCCTTCTGCTTGTTGCCGATGCAGGAGTCACACAGGACCTCCTCGGAGCCCGACTTGGAGCGCAGGAGGAGGCCGCCGTCAGCCCGGGGGTAGCTGTTCCGCCGGGCCTCCCCGGGCTCCACGATGGACACCGTGGGCTTTCGGGGCTCCGAGAAGATGGACTTGCGCAGCTCCCCCTTCTCGGCAAAGGAGAGGGGCGGCTTCCGGCCAGCCCCCAGCTGGAGCCCGGCGTAGGGGGACCTCTTGCCGTCCCCAGAGTCCATGCTGAAGTAGCTGGAGCTCTTGTCGTCCACGGACTCCACAAACTGGATGATGGGCCGCCGCCACTCGTTCCCCGAGAACAGGGAGCTCTTGCCCTCCCCTGGTTTCGGGGCGCCGCCCAGGCTCTTGCCCTCGGCCGCCTCCCCGCCGTGCCCGTTGGTGGTCTTGGCATCTTGGCCTTCGGCCTTGGCCCCGTTCTCCAGGGTGCCGTTTGGACCCGGGGGGCTGCGGGCATCCCGGGCTTCTGGGCTGGCCCCATTGCTTCTGGAGGCATCTGAGGCTTCCATGGCCGGTCACTCGGCGGGCGTGTGTTGGGACTTGCTGGGGTCGCAAGTGGGTGACCTCTCAGAATGGCGTCTCCGCGGGGAGTGGGCCAGGTAGCCAGAGCCCAGGGACACACCTATAGGGAGCAGGGGGAGGAGGTGGAGGAGGAGGAGACGGAGGTGGAGGAGGCGGGGGAGGAAGTGGGGAAGGAGGAGGAGGAGGAGCAGAGAGGAGGGGCAGCAGGCCCGAGCCTGACGCACGGGCTGGCCAGGGAGAGCCAGCAGCGGCTCCCAGAGCCAGAGGCGGGCGAATTATACAGGAGGCCACACCCTGCACATTCATACCTAACCTGATTTCTAAAGGACGTGGGTTTTCTTTCCTCCCCTGGTTTAATTATTTTCCACAGCTCAGCAGCCAGTCAGCCTCCTACTTTCTGACGCACCTTCTCCTGAGGAAGTGGGGGACCTCTGTGCTCACGGGGGGTCAGGCTTTGCTGAGCCAAAGGACCCCTGGGGCGAAGGGTGAGGTGTCTGCCGAGGCCCATGGGACAGAGGGCTATTAATTGGGTCACACAAGCCAAATAGCCTTATAATTGGCGGGCCCAGACTTCAGAGAAGTTTCCCACCCTGGGCCAGTAATGAGAAAGGGGGGTCTGGTTGGCTTTGGATTGGAGGATGGGCAGTGCCCAACTTCCAGGCGTTGTCCTAGGTCTGTCACCTACAGGGGCTCCTTTTACCCCCCCCATAACCTGTTCAATTATCCTATTTCATAAACAAGAAAACTGAAGCTCTACGCAGCTCCCTCAAGGGCCTCAGTCAAGTGGTGGGGCAGAGATTTGAACCCGAGACCTTTGAGCCGCCAAAGTCCCTTCTTTAGCTACAGTGTCACGGAGTCTCCCGAATGCCAAGGACTTCTAGAAGCCATGTCTGGCTCAGCGGCCCTGACGAGATGCATGTGGTCCTTAGGTCATTTCTTTTTTTTTTTTAATTGAAATTTTTTTCATATTTTTAATAGTATTTTTTTTACTACGTTTTTTATTTTAATTCCAGTTAGTTAACGTCCAGTGTGATAGTTGTTTCAGGTGTCGAATTTAGTGATTCTACGCTTCCATCTAACACCCTGTGCTCCTCATGGCAAGTACCTCCTTCCCCCACCCCCCTTCCCTCCCCCAACGCCCGTTTTTGGGGAAGCGGCAGTTCTCTGTAGTTAAGAGTCTGTTTCTTGATTTGTCTTTCTCTCTCTCTCTCTCTCTCCTTTTTTTTTTTTTTTTTTTGTTTATCCTTCTCTGGTCTGTTTTGTTTCCTAAATTCCACACAGGAGTGAAATCATATGGTATCTGTCGGCCCTTCTGTTACTGCCTTCCGAGCAGGTCAGAACCTGTTTGGACCGAAAGGACAGAGCAACAGTAATGAGGGGAATGCAGGCAGCGGCAGGCCAGGCGGCGGAGGCCGCAGGGCCCAAACACTTCCCTCTCTTCTGTCTCCGCAGCAGTTTTGCTGTGTGACTCAGGGAAAATCCGCCTGCCCTCTCTGGGCCAGGCCACAGGCGACACCCTCCGACAGGCCACCGGTGAAGTGTAGCACTCTGATCACCTCAGAGGCCAGCTGTTGGACTTTGACAATCACATACATACAGACCTCAGGGAGCAAAGTGGGAAAAAACCGCTGCCGCCACGTTCACCCTCTGACCTCCGCAGGAACACCGAACCCTCACTCTTACCAAGACGGGCCACCTCATCGCCTCTGGCTTCAACCCACTGCCATGGTCCTGGGGAGCCAACGCCCCCATCGAGGAAAGGGCTGGATGGGGCCCAGCCGGGGTGGCAGGCTCTGGGCTGTGTGGAGGGAAGTTTCCCTTCCTCCCCTACATCCGGGTCAAGTTCTGGGATCCCTGCCCCTTAGGCTGAACTCGCTAATCCTTGGTGACAACAGCCCCTGGAAGCAGGAGCAGAGACAAGCTTTTCACAGAGCAGCCAGAGTTTTAAGAAGAGGTGTCTGGGGTGCTGGAGACAGAGCGAGCTGGCTTCACGGTGGTGGTGTCCCCAGACCCCCACTAAGCACCCCCCTTGTTTGTACACACTGGCAAGTTGGCTAGGAACTCGTGGGGCCTTCTGGGGTGGAGAACCCTTTCTCTAAAACTCAGGCCCAATTCCCATAGGCTCTTGTTTGAGGTGTGGAGGGAGAGGGAGAGCAAGAGAGATACTGGTCTGTTGGGTGGGGAGATGCCCCTCCCTCTTCCCCCTGATAGTGTCTCCCCTACGCCCCCTCCACCCTCTTCGTATGAGAACAGCCTATGAAAAGGAAGGGAGGGTGGGGTACTTGCGTGGCTCAGTCTGCTAAGAGTCTGCTTTCAGCTCAGGTCACGATTTCAGGGTCCTGGGATCGATCCCCGAATCAGGTTCTCTGCTCAGTGGGGAGCCTGCTTCTCCCTCTCCCTGTACCTTGCTTGTGCTCGCTCTCATGATCTCTCTCAAATAAATAAAAGGAATCTCAAGAAAGAAAGAAAAAAGAAAAAAGAAAAGAAGAGGAAAGGAAAAGAAAAGAAAAGAAAAGAAAAGAAAAAAAAGAGAAAAGCAGGGAGGGCATGAAGAGCAGGAGAGAAACTCCAGAGGGTTCTGGTTCTGGATCCACAGCGACGCTGGCTGAGCCTGAGATCCTGCTCTAGGGGCGTCTCTGCTATTCCTTAGAATCCATGCACCTGTCTTCCAGAAGTCTGGGCAAAGACTTTGAGCCTTGGGAACAGGCCAACATGGAGTAGATGCTCAGAAAACATTTGTGGATGGATGGATGGAGGATGGATGGGGGGTGGGAGGGAGAAGGAGACAGTTGGCATACTGGATACGATCATTGAAAAGAAAGGGGAAGAAGGAAGATGGGTGGGAAGGAGAGAGGGAAGAGAAGAGATGGGAAGAGGAAGGAAGGAGGTGGGTAGGTAGTAGGTAGGTGAGGGTACTGACAAATTTTAGCCCTGGCTCATCCAGGGTGAAAAAGCACTGGTTTGTAGCATTTGCCCATTTCTCCCACCCTGGCCATTTCCAAGCTTCCAACACGAGGAGTTCTGGAAACAGAGCCACACTATGGGCTCCCAAGCCGGGGTGAGCGGGCTCCCGCCCATCACGGAGCACTGGTGGCTGATTGAGGGAGATAAACCGACAGCAGGAGGGAAGGCGGAAAGACAGATGCCCTAAAACGCCGCTCTCGATTGTCCTGAGGGAGGAAGACAGGTTCAAGGGATTTCAAGGAGACGGAAGCCAAAGCTGATTGATTTTATCTCTTCCATGAGGCTTTCCCTCTGGCATGGGTCCCCCAGCGATGGCTCCCGGCTCTGAGCTCCATCCTGCTAGAGGCATTTAGCTGACCACACAACGCCGTCCGTGATACACTCATTCCCACAGATTTCCTGAGCCTCCTTCCACGTGCCAGGCGCTAAACAGGGACCGATCCCACAGACATGAATGAGTCCCAGGCCTCGCCATTAGGAAGCTTACAGTCTGTCCGGTGAGACAACAGACCAATGAGTCAGTCATTTGAATTTGGTGTGAACAGAGAACGAGAGACATCTGTGTGAGAGTGGTTCAGGCTGCCCAGAGGAGAGAAGTCCAGGACAGGCTGACAGAGGCCAGTCCCTCCCAATAGGCTGAGCAGGGCTCCCTTCCTGTGCCCGGAGTCACCCTGTCCACCAGTTGGAGGCAGTATTTGACGTGACTCAGCAGATACTTACTTGACTCAATTTGCTATCAAGGCTGGTGGACTGGCTTTTGGATCCTGCTGAGCCTGGGGGTGGGGAGAGGGAGGAAGCCCAGACCCTTCCCTTCCTTGGGTCACTGCTTCCTGCATATGTCTGCTGAATGGTATAGTCTTCTGGGGGCCCCCAGAATCCAGGAGCTGAAAAGACGTCAGGGGAAGCAACCAAAGAAATAACGTCCTTCCCAGGCTCCCTGGAGCCCTTGCACTGTACCCCAAGCCCATCAGCCCGGGGGTGCTGAACCCAAGAGGCAAGGACTTCCACCCGCCGGAGTAGTCAGGTCTGGGATGTGCACTGAGGACCATCCACGGGAAGTGATCGCCTCCTACCCCAGGCTCCTCGAGACTCCAGCTCTGCCCTTTGTGCCCATCCACCGACCTAAGTACACTCAACCCTACTGGCCCGGGGCCCACCCCTCTGCAACTCCAAACCCAAAATACACATTTCCCAGTACCCTGCCAAGCCTCTGTGTCATGTGCAAACTGGCAAAGAACCCCCCAGAGGTCGATGATCCACCACCGTGTCTTGGGAGAGGGGGCTGGCAGCAAAGGAACGTTTTCGTTTCTAAAGGCCTTGAAAGGAAGGGATCCCATGAGCCCCTCCGTCCCTCATCTCCCATCTTACCCTGTTCACCCTCCAGCCTCACCTAAAGCCCTCCAGCTGCGATGCTTCTCCCTACACAACGCGCAGCTGGAATTTGGCTGTGGCCCCTACGCTAGCCCTTGCAGGTGTCGGAGGTGAGAAGAGCTGGAAGGTGTGGCCTCCAGAGATGTGTCCTGATGGACTGGGGTCAAGTCGGCCTCTTCAGACGAGGCAGGCCCAGCCACCCCCCATGGAGTCCCTTTCTCCCACGCCCACCTACCAGCCAACCCCAAGCTTCTTCCCAAGCTTCTTTCATGAGGCATCTCAAAGCTGTTCCCCTCCTAGAAGCCTCCCCTGATTCAGCAGGTGCCGCGGCCTCACCCACCCACAGGTAGTGCCTCACTCCATCACCAATCACCTTCAGATGAAAGAAGGAACCCCTGATGAGGAGGAAACTCCTCTGGCTTCCTTGGGATCCCAGGGTTGGGCGGGAGCCACTGCCTCTGAACAAGACTGTATCTAGAAACGTCCTCTGAAGGACTCGCCAGGGAAGAGACTTCCCCACCCCCCTTCAGCCATCCACGGCATGCTGGGGGACTGTTCGCTGCTGGAAGTTCTTCTTGGAGTCTAACTTAAATATTCTATAAGGAAGGCTGTTAGCAATGAGGAACAGACCCTCCGGCACAGCAAAGGACAAGATTAGGGGCAACTGTATCCAGGAGGGGACAGATCTAGTCCAATCTGAGTGCTTCTCTAGTTCTTTTGACTTTCTGGCCTCTCTGTCCTAGAGGACTTCTAGTTGCAAA